GAGATGCCAGCAATAGGTTTTTACGATAATTAGTTAGTAATTTTAGGTAGTTTATTAGTTTGTATTAATATCAAGGTGATTTCTACATTAATAAGCTTAAAAGTGCCCAGTATTGTTCAATACCAGATAAATAATGTAAATAGACATTTAGAACATACATTTTTGTAATAGCATCGGCGTGCAGCCGAGGTCACACGAAGTGCATTCCAGGATAGCATAGCTACACTATTAAAGAGTGGGCTAACCTAGAAGAGGTAATTTTTTGTTCATAACCATGTGTTTAACGCGTATCAAAAGAAAAACTGAAGAAAAATTTATGGGAATTGCCAGCAATAGGTTTTTATGGTAGTCAAATAGTAATTTTAGGTAATTTTTCATTTGGATTCAAATCGATGCGGTAACTACTTAATTAGCTAAAAAGTGCTTAGTGTTGTGCAATATGCTCTACATAATGTAAATAGACATATAAAACATGAATTTTAGTAATAGCGTCGTCGTGCAATCAAGGTCACATGAAGTGCATTCCAGGCTACATAGCTACACTAGTAAAGAGTGGGCTAACCTTGAATACGTCATTTTTTGTTCATAACCATGTGTGTAACATATATCAAAAGAAAAACGAGAGAAAAACTTAAGGGGAGATGCCAGCATGGGTTTTTATGGTAGTCAGTTAATAATTTTATCATTTGGAAAAAATTGAGGGTGGTTACTACTTTAAATAACCTCAAACGTCTTTAATATTGTCCTTTAATCTCTAAATAATGAAATAGTAGTTTAATTTCATTCAGCGTATTGTACAGTTTTATACATACATATTAGTCAACCTTCATAATCAACGCTGTGCGTGTACCGCCAAACACCATCCTTGCCGTGTTTCGCCAAAAAAAGTTCCCGCCACTTGATATGTCAGCTGCTTTGTGACGAATCCTGCTGTGACGCCATCATTGTTGTGACGTTTTACTGTGACGTATATTCGTCGGAGGGGCGGTAGGAGAAGTGGAATGGGTTATTGCTGTTCTATTGCCAGTTTCACGCTGATACTTTACTTTAGGTCCTACACAAACAACCGAATGAAAATATTTACTATTCGATTGTTTCATTAGATATATCGTTTGGTTAGTTAGGTTAGGTTAAACTTACCTAACTAACCAAATGATATAGGCTATCGAATAATCGATATATCGATCGATATTTTCATTCGAATGAGTGTAGGACCTAAAGTAAAGTGCAGCCCTATTGTGGTTTTCTTAAAAGCTTGTCATCCTTATTAGCTTTATATTTTACTAGTTGTTCTACCCATGCCAAGCCACGGTGAGAGAATGCAGAGAGGTGATTCTTTGTCGCCTCGTCCAATGCAAACTGCTGAATGATTAAGCACTTGTTCTTGATATAGGCCTAAATTCATTTGGGGTACACTTCCATATTTGTTGGCACAAACAATCGAATGAGTAACATTGATATATTCGATATATTGATTATTCGATTGTTTAATTTGATATATTGTTTGGTTAGTTAGTTAGGTTAACCTTACCTAACTAATCAAAGATATATCGAATAATCGACATATCGATCGATATTTTCATTCGGTTGTTTGTGCCAACAGATATGGAAGTGTACCCAATTTGATCATGTCCATGTTAAAAGCAAAATACTCTTACAGATGTGTTTTTTTTCAGTTGGAACACATAGGCCTAAGGATTCAAGGTACTTTGGTATTATCCGGAGGCCACCCTTATAAAGCACGCTGCAGCGTTTATGTTATCATAAATGGAAAGAACATACTTTAATTAGGAACTAACTTACAATCCAAATTTGACATTATTACAATCAGCGGCCTTTGAGTTCTGCCTCCTAGAAGGTAGCGATGTCGGCGATGATTGAGTTGAATGAGTCGCCGCCTCTACTGCCACACCAGATACAGGCGGTGACAGGTGATGCGTGCGCTCCGGTTAACAACCTCACCTTGGCCTACTTGACTTATCTGAGGACTCATCTGGTATGGTTTGATTCATAATAAAACGAGGAAAGTCCTACAAACATATTTATGATAACCCAACCTAACATAACTGCCGCAGCGGACTCTACAAGGGTGGCCTCCGGATGATACCAAAGTACCCGATTCTATGTTTCTTGTGTCACTTAGGCCCCGTTTATGCACCAAGTGCGGTAGCGGTAGCGACAGCGGGAGCGATTTCTAACACCATTGAGTTAAATGGGGCTGTTTATGCACCAAGTGCGGTAGCGGTAGCGACAGCGGGAGCGATTTCTAACACCATTGAGTTAAATGGGGCTGTTTATGCACCAAGAGCGATAGCGATAGCGGTTGACCTCCCGCTGCGATTTCTAATTCGCCCGCTGTGTAGTTAGGAATCGCAGCGGTTGCTTGGGCTGAAGCCAGGGTTGCCAACTTGACCCACGCGCACGTGCACTTAGGACAAATAGTTGTGTTAATTAATTATTTGGCAGAGTTTGAGTTGGCAAGACTGTGTCCCCCTTCCATTCTCCTTTGACCAACCGCTACCGCTATCGCTCTTCGTGCATAAACAGACTCATTTACAGCGGGAGCGGGCCTTAAACGGGACCTTAGTTAGGCCTATACACAACATTTGTCTGCAACATAAACTGCTCTGTTTTTAACATATAATACTGAACTTACAGTATAAGTAAACAATTAAAACAGAATTCAAAAGGTTTGAACACTATCCCACATTATAAGAAAAACCTACAGTACTGTCACTTCTCTCAACTCAAGGAAAAGTAAACAAACAAACTGAAACAAAAAGAAATCTAACAGCTGATGTACGGTAACTTCGTTATATTAAAATGTGATTAAATACAGCCCTTTAATTGAGGTTCCTGCCCATAGGAGAGGGTGTATTGAAAAACTGCTATTTTTTGGGGAAGTTTCACGTTAAGACCTTTAAGTATGCGGTTGATAAAAGTGCGGCTCATGGTTTTCTCAAAAGTTTGTAATCCTTGTTGAGTTAGCTTTATATAGGCTAGATTGAAGATAGATATGGGACAAATCTGTCATTTAGGGCTACCTTTGTTGTTGTTGCTTGAGATCTTGTAGGTAAGATGTTTATGTCACGATATGCGTTTTGCCAGCTTGTTTGGTATCTTCAGAGGTATTCTTTTTAGGTTATCTTCTTATCACTAACACTATAGATACTGTCTTTACAAAAATATTTATACACACTCGGTCATTAGTCAGGGCATACGGTACTGCGGTCGGGTTGATCGGACAACCCAAAGACGGATTCTGAGGCAGAGTCAGGTCTTTCCCTCCTTTCATTTCTTGGAGTGGAGGTTGTGGAATTTGAATTTGGGCTGTTTACCAATGGTAGTAAATATTTTTGTAAAAACAGTATCAGTCTACAGGCCCTAGTCTTAGTGAGAAGTTAACTTAAGAAGACCTTTGAAGATGCCACACAGGCTTCAAAACGCATAGGGTGACAAACATCTTAACTACTAGAACTACCTACTAGGGCAAAACCAATAAAGGTAAATCTAATACACGCTAGCGTAATTCAAGTTCTTGAAACATAGATACTTACTTACTTACTAACTCCTGTGGCCACACAAATCCCAAGTGATTTTTGGCCTCGCCAACAATGCTCCTCCACTGCTGCCTGTCTTCTGCTGCCTCCAAACTTGCTCCTAACCTCCTGAGGTCCTGCCTCACTTGGTCATTCCATCTTAATCTGGGCCGACCCAGCGGCCGTCGTCCTTCTGGTTGCCCCATCCATACCTTCTTAATCATTCTGTTATCATCTCTTCTATATACATGTCCCAGCCATTGTAATCTTCTGCTCTTTACCATTGCTATAACATCTGGGTCATTATAAAGTTCTCTTAATTCTTGGTTCTTCCTTATCCGCCATTCACCATTGTCATTAATAGGTCCAAACACTCTACGTTCAAAGTAGAAAATGAATACTCAGACACCTTTAGAATTAACACAGGACTAAGACAAGGCAATGCACTATCCCCATTATTATTTAATCTAATCATAGAAGAAGTGCTGAGAGAGGTGAGCAGTGTTCAGGGAGGTGCAAAGATTAGTGGGAAGACAAACGTTCTAGCATTTGCAGACAATGTGGCACTAATAGCAGAAAATAAAAGAGATGTTAAGGAGCTAGCAGAAAAGCTAATCGCTGAAACACAAAAAGTGGGACTAAAAATAAATTATGAGAAAACTAAGGTAATGAAGATAAGTAGACAACCTGATAACCAACCATACTTGGAAGTCTTGAATTTTAAATTGACAAAAACTGACAATTTTAAATATCTGGGAGTGACAATAACAAGTGAAAGCAGACAAGACGATCAAAATCCAATGTAGATTAGCAGCAGCTCAACGGTGCTATTGGAGTCGAACAAATCTATTTAGAAGTAGACTCCGACCAGAAGAACTAAAATAAAGATGTATAAAGTAATAATACAACCAGTTCTACTATATGGAGCAGAAGTCTGGACGCCTACAGAGCAAAATGAAAAGAATTTGATAGTTTTTTTTTAAACATAGATAACAATAAAAAATCTGACATGTTTTGATTTTGATGTTTATAAAGTAGCTGATATATTTACTACGTGAAAAATCTGACATTTTTAAAGGAAATATTTTTGTGATAATCCAATCAGCCATACAGAAATTCACTTAGAAGTGACGTCCAAGCTGGTTTTCTTCCAAAGGTGTATTTACAGTAAAATTTTTTTCTTTTAGATGTTAGCCAAATAATTTCATTTAATTTGAAGGAAGATTAAAGGTTATTTCAGCTTTACATCTCTCCCTAATCTTGTGCAAATAAATTATAAAGTAAATATAACTGAACATAAATTATTAATACCAAACCTCCTTTCCTTGTTCAATATCATTATAGGGAGAGATTCAAATGCAGCGTTACAATTTTACTTAAATGCTGTAACTATTTTCCATATTGAAGACTAAGTTGGATTTTTTAAAATAATGTGTTCTGAAATACTGTGATTGATTTCAGTGTTCCGGACCTTCAATGGAACCGACATTGTATACAAATGATGCTATATTGACTGAACATTTAAGTCCAAGATTTAATAAAATAAGTAAAGGGGACATAGTTGTAGCAAGATCTCCTACAAATCCAAAACAGTTCATTTGTAAAAGAGTAACTGGTGTCGAAGGTGACAAAATGTGTCCTGGTTTCATCAGCCAAGTAGTTGTAAGTATATTCTGGGCCATGAATCTAAACAATTTGGTGGTTTTTGTCTCTCTAATTTTCTCTCAACAATATTAAGTACTAATAATTAACTTGTTTGCTGCGATATAAATTAGCATTATACCCCCTAAAACGCTTTAAAAAACAACAATGTCAAATCTCTGCCTTTACTGTACTTCTCTAACAATGTGATTTTTTCACTATTTTAAACACTTGGGATGATCCACACATTTTTTTGTTTCCCCCACACACATTTGAACCCTAATACAGCTCGTGGCATCTAAGCTGGCACTTGGCCTAGCCAAGGCCACACTATACTACAGGCCGGAGTGCTTGAACTGTGACGTCATGGAAGAAGCCGGGCCGCTGCCTCCCTCAACAACAGGCTCTTACGGCGATTCAGTGTCGCGCCCTCAAAACTATTGCACCCTGAGTCACTGGTTCCGATTTATTCGTACAAACTATATATTTTATTAATCTGCGTTAATCGACGAACAATATTATGTAAGAAAATATTTATTTGAAGAATTTGTATACTAGTTTTTAAAAATTAAACTTAACATTTGCTCTCAAATGGTAACATAATAGGACAGTGCTGTATAATTCAACACAGTTGTACATAAATAATTAAAACAAAATAAATATATATTATTTTACACCAAATGAAAAAATCATGTCTTTTCTTTTTAAGTCAAATCATCAGGTTGATTTTAAATATTATAGAGTATTTTAAACTTCTCATGGCATGGATCAGAGTCGGGATGCAAATGAAACTAAGATTTTTTTATACTAGAGTTTTTTATTACAAACAATGCGTAAACAATCAAGTTTAGTTCAAGAGCTTAATTTTTTAGCCTTTCTTTTCATTGTATCTTTGTTAACTTCAGCTTTCTCCTTTCTTTTTCTTGACATACAGTCTGAAATGCTCTTTGAATAGTTATTAAGTAAAATGTTACAAAATGAAAACAAACACTTATCAATAAGTTTCTTAAAACTAAGTCCACACTCATTACAAGTCATATCCCCGATCGGGGCTTCGTTAGCAAATACACCAATTGTGTTAATCAAAACTTTTCTTTGATTTGGAAGAGACAAAAAATCACTTTCGTATCTTTCGGAGATAACAGTTTTGAAAACTTTAAAACCAATCAAGATAATTTCTAACAGCTCATCAGATGGGTACTTTAGACCACCTCTATTAATAATATTGAAATAATAGTTTTCTGTTTTAGTCACAATAGTTGATTCGGAGTCTTTAAGGGTCAAAAAAGCATTACAGGAGTTGCAGCTATTATGCTTCAAAGCAGCATGAGCTACGTACCCGGCAATGTAAACTAGGCCTAACTTATCATTATCAGATATGTCTACCTCCATTAAATCTACATCTAAATCATCAATAATGCTGACTACGTTTTCATCGGAGTCGTGATATTCGCCAGCGTCATTGTCTGAGCAGAGTATGTCAGATATTCGGACTTCTACTTGTTTTGAAGAATAGAGTTTAATGAGACTTAAAGCCCTAATCTTATTTTCCGATTGCAGTACTTGTTGGACAGAAATTTGATATCATGCTCCACTCATTTGCCTATACTGACCGAATCTCGCTTCTAGGCTATCTGTCTGGAATTTACCTAATAAAACATAGGAAAACTTCATGTCACTGCTCGTTAAATACTCAATTACTTCTAATAAAGTGGTTACTGTATGCAGCAGAGCTACATGAGTTTCATTTGAAAGTTTACCTCTCCTTGAATTTGTTTTTTCGCCCTGAATCACGAGTTGGTTCCAAGATTTTAACCAGTCACTAAACTGTTTCAAAAATAAACAACTGTCATCAGTAATATTATTAACAGGCTTATAAAGGTTGTCCTTGAATTTCACCCATTTAAAGCTATGTTTAACATTTACAATTTTCCACCATTTTAAAACTATTTCTAAAAATATGGAAGTGCCACAATCTTTTGAAGCTGTTGCCTCCCTTGTATGCCTTAAAGCAGCAATGTTTTTTTCATCGAACAGTTTACAGCACAGCAATACATTCTGACGCTCTATGGAGGTAGGGTATAAAACCTTTTTTGAAAGTGCTGGGGCTAGTTTTACACATTTATGTTCCTCACTATTATATAGAACTTTTAGGTCTGAGACACAAGCTGTCTCCATTATACTGTGGTTTTCAAAATTTGGAAATATGAACGATTGCTTACTGTCAACTTGATTTAGCCAATTGTTCCTTATACATTTAAATAAGTGAACAGTGTCAAAAAGAACATAAATGTGTTGCGATACACAAAAAGGGTTTTCAAATTTAGGTTTCAATACACCACCACAAAACTGAACAAACATATTCCTATTGACTCTATTATTATCAGATATAAGGCATAGCACTTTATAGCCTAGTTTTGTGAGCATTTGGAGAACACTCTTGGTTAGTTTATACAACAACTCGGTGGTCAAGTGTTTAACAGGAAATAAGCCAACTACATCTTTGTGCTTTGACATTATAGAAGAGATCATAAAAACCTGTACAGTACTGGCTAGCTCTTTTTTTGCACCTTCGTGAACCAACCCTTCTATTTTACCACCTTTAAAACTCATTTCAGGTTTTACATACACTTCGTCTAATAGCAAACAACACAGTTTCTCATTTTCATTAAGTAGGTTTACTTTTTTCTTTAAATATTTCTCTTGTCCACATTCAAGACCAGAGTTGTTACTTCCTAACTTTAAGTGTAATGCACTCAGATAGGTACTTTGGGTGAGGCATTGTCAACAATCTAGAGGCCCTAATATTTTTATAAGCAGCTGGAAAGGAAAACATAAGTGTGGCAAACCACAGCAATGTAGTGACACAGTAGTTTATTCTACTTTTAAAAACTAAATTAAACTGTTCTTTAAGAAAATTTAACCTTTTGTTTTTGTCAGGGTCTTCCGTGTTTTCATCTATTAAATAGTTAATTGAATTATTTATATTTTCAATATGCTCATTAGTACTAGATTCAATGTCTAGTAAACTGTTATTGTTAAATACATATTTCAATAGAGAATCAAACTGAGACCAAAGATGCATATGTTTTGACCCATTCATTATTTTTAATATTTCTGGATTTTCATTAACACAGATCTCATTAAAACAAACTTTGAATGACAAATCGTCATTGATTACAAGGGAAACGTTTACTTTTAAAGTTCCTAGGCCTGTTCCTTTCGTAGAGAAAAGTATGATACGAGTTTCCTCAGACTGGACATGGAATGTCCGAGGTGTGAGCTCTGCACATTTAGCATATTTGTTTTTTATTTCGTTTAGCGATTGTATACAATCCAACTGTTGTACTTGCCGATTGTGGTCGTCCTCACGTTCCTGGATTTCTTGTTTCCTGGTGGAAGGATCTTTACGAGAAGGTGGAAGTTTGGTAGTAAGGTATTTCGGCAGATTATCAAAAATAGTTGGAACCGCATCCGGTGTTAACTTTAGGTGATCGCGTTTTACAGTCAATAGCGAACCATCTGGTCTAACGACTGTGTCCTCCCGCACAATGAAGCGTTCATCGAAATGTTTAATACAAACAACAGAATGTCTGCTGGGCACATAATCTGATCGATGAATTGACCTCAACCATTTTTGGCGATATTCTAGGTCAGCAGGAAAGCGAAAAACGTTAACTTTTTCATCACCACGATAGTTGCTTCGACACCCCGGTACACAACATGAGGTCGGCATCTTCCACTACGAAGTTGTCAAAACACACCATTATTACTATTAATTGTCATCTTCAATAATTGTCTTCAATTAAAAATGTAGGGCAATAAACTAAAAAATTAGGATTTGTCACTACAGTTGGCACCAAAAGAAAGCTCAGGAAGGGTGGCAATGCGACAGGTGTAAGCTACTAGCCTAATGGCGGTGGGCGTCGACAAGGCTGGGCGTTCGGCTGATTCAGTGACGTAGCAGCGAGAGTGGAGGGGGGCACTCCAGCCTGTAGTATAGTGTGGCCTTGGCCTAGCGTGGGCAGTGTTGGCGGGAGGAGGGTGGAGGTAGGGAAAAGACCGGACTGCAAACATTTTGGCTGCCTCACGGGGTTGCCTCCCCTTGTATTATGTACATGAGCGCTTTCATATGGGTCGCGAGGATAGTTGATGCAACCCGCATGACAGGACATAATGTTTTTGAACTAGATACTAGTAGCGGTCAGCCAAGTGCCAGCCTAGATGTCACGAGCTGTACATACCCTACTGTCACAGGTGTCTGGAATAATTTTGATAGAACAGACCTTTTTTGTAGATTAATAGTATTAATATCATTTACAACTTACTATAATCAAATACTTTCACTGTAGCTTTTTCATAAGCTATAATTATGTAGTAGTACCGGTAGCATGTTCTAAATAAAGCCTATGTTGCAGGTTCCACGAGGACATGTGTGGCTCGAAGGAGACAACCGCAGCAACTCGTCAGATTCACGAGCATATGGCCCCGTACCCATTGGTCTGCTACGAGGTCGTGTACTCTGCGTAATTTGGCCATTTTCCCATGCTACACTACTCACACAACCAAACACGTAGATCTTTAGTTCTACTTTTATTATTAGGATGTATAAATATATAGTGTAAGTTATTTTGTTGTAACAAGTTAAAATTGATTACATTCATTTCTCTCACTAAGTTCATTTCATTTATACCTCATTCTTCATACATAACTCAAGGACCAAAATTTACCTTTATAATGGTGAATACAAATAAATAACAGTTTTTGTATTTGGATTGAAAACGAACAATGAGTATTCTTTTTCACCAGTTTCACATGTGAAATTTTTTCCTAATAAGGCTAGTTCACACATGGCGGTGACTAGAGTCGCAGCTACTACTATAAATATATGAGAACAGAGTATCGTCGACTAGCACTCGCTGTCAAGTAAAAATTCACTCACGCAGAAAGTCGAGTATGTTCAATTTTTGTGGTGAGTAGTCGCTAGTAATCATTCTTGAGACTTCTTGAGAGTCACGTGATTCACAAACAAATTGTATTATGTAGCACTCTAAATGTATTGGAGTGATTTTAGGGAGCCTCGCCATATACCTCAAAGTTATATCCAGTTCGGTTCTCATTGGAACCACTAGCCTCTGGTAAGTATTCTCCTTTTTTATTAATGGTGATATAATTTCTTATAACTCCTCAACCAAATGTTAATCCCATAATGACACAACTACCGAACCCTCTGAGCTGTGTGTAAGTTTTAGTTCCTCATATAAATTTATCATTATCAAAAAATTACACTCTTCTCACAATGGAGACGTGTTGGTTTTCATGCTTTGAGTTGGAACAGAGAACCCTGGCTGGGATCTAGAGGAAGTCATTAACATTACTTTTGAATGAGACATTACTTTTCCTACAATACATTACACCACCGAGGTGCTTGTTTTAAAGATGAATATGAATGCTAGATTATAATGGAGGACGATCTGTTGTACTATGTGTTACCACTACGGTGCCATTGATAAAACATTGGTATAATGAGCTCTCTCTCTGAAATAAAATGTTAATCTACTTAGTCTAGTACAGAAATGTTCAATGTGGTCTGACCATGACAGGGGAGTTATCCATATACCCATAAAAAAAATTAACAACTTTGACCTTGTCACACCGTACTTCAGGAATTTTACAAAGACCGTAAGTTTGGTTTTTTTTTTTTTTTAACACAAAACTATTACTGTATCGGAAAACATTTTTGCTGCTACGGTAACTGAGTTTATTGCCAAGCTCAAGACACTCTAAATCTCTGCTGTGTGTGTGTAACTGCAGTGGCGGTTCTATATAAGGGGGGCTATATAGGGTAAAGCACCCCCCCTCCCATTGGACCCTGGTAGTATAAACTCAAACATAAATTTTGTTATAAAAACGTACCGGAGATTTTTGAACATAGTTCTAGACCTTAAAAATGGCTTTAAAAATAGCTCATTTTCAGGGGGAGGACCCCCCCTCCGGATCCCCTCCTGGTGAGGTACACCATGGTAGCCTCCACCCCACCCCTCTTGACAAGGCCGGTGTGTGTAAGCAAAGTTGTGTCATCCATCAGCATAAAGGCATACATTACATTTGAGACTGGATGGAAGGTCAATCATTAAATGATTGATTAAGAAGAACAGATGGCCCAAGACTGAGCCTTGTGGTACCCCACAGTTGCGGACCACAGACCCCGCTATAATCCAACTGTCTTTGGTTGCTAAGATATGTCGTCTTCAGCAGTTTTAAAGCATTAATTTGGACACCATAAATCTCCAACTTGGAGCAGGACATAATGGTCGACAAAGGACACAGTCAAACACCTTGCTGAAGTCAATGAATGTCTCCCAGGCATATTCTTTTTTTTAAGGGTGTTTAATATGTCATGAACCATGGAACATTGCGTCCATAGTGGACTGTCAACTTCTAAGACCAAATTGATGTTTGTCAAAAGATGAGTGTACGTGAACCAATTGTAACATTGACTATGTATACTGCATAAGTCATAAGTCTTTATTGCCATTAAATACAACAAGTACAATAGGCTCGTCATTTAAATAAAAAAACATGCAAAATCAAATCCATCAACAAACAATTCAAATAAATAAGCTCTAGTCAAAAAACAAAACAAGAAAACATGCACAAACCATGCAGGTGTACCTGAAAGTGACTCAAATGGTTACCACCAGATTGCTTTTGTCGCAGTTGAAAAATTCGGATATGTGGTAAAAAGGATTTAGAGTGAGCCAATTTTTTACAAAAGTGGAGAATTTTTGTGTGTGTAAATTTCTTGTACATTGGGGCAATTTGTTGAAAAGTTTAATGCCTGAAACAGGAAAAGAACACATGATTTTTGAAGCCTATTTCTAGGTACAAAGATATCAAACTTATTCCTAGTATCATAACTATGTACATCGCTATTTACATGAAGAGAGTCTTGTCTGGCTTTTATTGCCACAAGACACTGAAAAATGTACTCATTTACAATTGTCAAAATTTCATTTTCAACAAACAAAGGTCTGCAATGGTCAAGGCACCCAGCATTTGAAATTACTCTAACAGCTCTCTTTTGAATTAAAAGAATTCTCTGAGTACCAGTGGCATGGTCCCACAGCCTGGTTCCATAGGCTAAAATAGACTGAAAAAAGCATGGTAGGCCTGCCTAACTGTTGGCCTTGGAAGCTCAGACATTAGCTTTATCAGCAGGAACAACACTCTGCTAAGTCTCTTACACAGGACATCTATGTGACCTTTCCAAGACAGCTTGGGATCCAGTACAAAACCTAACAGTTTTACAGACAAACTTTCAGGTACATTAGGCAAAAGGCTGAAAGTTATTTCCTGGGTTTTCAAATCATTAAGAACTAATTTGTTTAAAATGAACCATTGCTGAGCCAAGGCCAAAGAGTCATGCACTGCTGACTGAGCCAGGAACCAGTCTTTATCAGACGAAAATAAAGTTGTGTCGTCTGCAAATAGAATAATGTGACTATTAACATGGTAATGCAAATCATTAATGGCAATCAAAAATAATAGGGGTCCCAAGATAGAGCCTTGGGGAACTCCATGGAGCACATCACCTTTCTCAGAAAAAGTCCCATTCCAACTAACAACTTGTTTCCTATTTGACAGGTAAGAGGAAACCACTTTGAGGGAAACATCTCCTAGACCATAGAATTTAAGTTTTACCAGAAGGGCATTGTGAGGAATGCAGTCAAAAGCACGTGACAAGTCGCAAAGAATTGCATGTGTTCGACTTTTTGGACTCAAAAGACTTGATAATTTCACTCACCAAGGACTCTACAGCTAATATTGTCGATTTGGCTTTCCTAAAGCCAAACTGTGAGGGAACTAGGAGATTGTTCTCCTCAAAGTAGGAATACATTTGAGAGAACATTACAGATTCCATAACTTTGGCAAAAACAGGTATGATAGACACAGGTCTGTAACTAGACAAACTTTCACGGGGACCTTTTTTATAAATTGGGACTGTTTTAACTACTTTTAGGGCATCTGGGAAACAACCAGTTGCAAGACAGTTGTTTATCAGAATTTTGAGCTCAGGTGCAACTGTGTGTATAACTTGCTTATATGTATAACTTGCAAATATACATCCAATTTAAATATGCATAGTTGACTTTATAAAAGTTAAGTATTGAATTAGCCTAATATACTCCTTCTAATCGATATTGCAACCAGGCAACTGCATTGTACTTGTACACCTAGTATCATGCTATTGCGTTATGGTTGTATGCTTCTTAAACAAGTTTTTAGCCCTTCTAAACCTCGTAGTACCATGGATAAAACATAGTCCCCTAGGGGCTATGTTTTAGCTATGGTAGTACTTAGTAGACATAGTCACGGCCACCTTTAACTCCAGGCTGTGGCCTGGTAGAATTTGCAAGGTCGCAAATAGCCTACTATACTGTAGTTCATGTCCTGTGACACTGGTGGCTAGTGTTGAAAATATTTGGTTTCTATTATTTTCGAGTTAATTTCATAATATGTGCTATACTGTTTTAGTTATATCTAGAGAATGGATTATGTTTTATGATTATATCGTTTTATTTGGTTAAAAGGAGTTTAAATGAGTCAAATAACAAGAAACAAATTTAAAATAAAACACGACCTCTACAGTGCACCGGACAGAACTAACGATAAAATTTGCTTCAGCTGTTCCATGTTGATGGGTAATCTACCAAGGGAGTATGTTGTGCATTGTTTTATCTTTGCCTCGTTATATTGTTAAATTTACATATTAAATTTATTACGTCCCTTTCTGGTTATGTTAGACGATTACAGAGTATTGGTTTAGATTATTTAAAAGGCAGTGGGTATTTTAATTTCCAGACTGGCAAGTCGAAACAAAATCAAGTGTCAAACTGTCACGCACGGGCACTGCTCACTGTAGGAGGCAGTGGCGGTGGGCTATCGACGACGACCTACCAAAACGATCAACCGTTTGTTGTGCACCGCTGGTGAAAACCGTCAAAATCAATGTGTTTATTATTATCCTGTGTTAGCTTAATTTGTGTGAAACTATGAGTGAATTATAGTGTTTTTACCGTTCAGTTTTGAGTGGATAGTGATCAAGATTACTTTGCTGATTCTACGTGACACTATTAAAGGTAATCTAGAATGTTGCTTGCCTGAGTAAATTAATAAAATTGTTCTAGGCCTACTTGCACTGGATGCTCATAAGTTTAAAGAGGTGCATTTAATTTTAAAGAAGCTGAGAATCACAAACTGTTAACAAAACTAATCCTTTGATAATGACTATGAACCAAGTTAAGCATAACTTAGTTAATAGGCTAATGCAAATCTTTCTGAAGAATTAAATTAACTTAGTATTAAGTTAAAGCTAGCCAAGGCTAATGTCATTTTGATATCTTATTTTATAGGTTTTTACCTCCAAATATACTATTATTTTTCACAGCAAATGAATTAATACTACGGAAGTTTAAATGTACAACTTTTTAATACAAGGTACCTAGCAAGGATGGCATTTATAAGAGGAAAGAACAGGAGACTAATGTAGGCCTAACCTAAACTTAGGCCTAGTTTTTTTTATAGGCATGTCAGGGTGGTCGAGCGGCTGCACTTTACTTGACGTCCTACACTCATTCGATTGGTTTTTTCGATTCTTTCATTCGATATATCGTTTGGTTAGTTAGGTTAGGTTAACCTTACCTAACTAACCAAACGATATATCGAATGAAGCAATCGATTAATTGATATATCGATCGATATTTTCATTCGAATGAGTGTAGGAGGACGTCAAGTAAAGTGCAGCCGGTCAAGCTTTAACTTTTGCGAATAAAGGGTTCCGTTAAGTGTTTTGAAGTTAGGTTCCAAGGATTAGGAAGTTAAAGTTTAGGTTAGGGCCTATAATTATTTGAGATGTAGGTTTACAACCTACCTAAAGACTGTTTTACTTAGTACAATTAAATTAGGCCTAACTTAAAACCCTGGCAAGAACACTCCAAAATACAATTTCAAAAATGCTTGTGGGTAGACTTGAACCTTAACTTAGGCTATCTGTTGTCAAAAACAACCGAATGAAAATATTGATCGATATATCGATTCTTTCATTTGATATACCGTAAAACGGGGTGACTTGAGCCCAGTGGGGTGACTTGAGTCCAAAACGCAAGAAAAAGTTTTGAATTTTTGTTTCAGAAAACCTAAATGATTTATCAAAAGGTTTTATATATCAATTTGAAGGTTAGGCCTACCTAATTAGCTTTCACCACAAACGATTCCAATTATTTTAACTGTCCATTTTAATAATTATAAAAAATAATAATGTTAACACGTCCGAATCTGAATTTCATTACGTTGAAAAAAGGTTATCGGCACAATGGGTATTTGCACTTAAATGAAAATAAAACTATTTTTCCCCATTTCATTATTTCCTTGACAATACAAACATGTTGAAGCATGTTTGATTATGTAATGGTTTAAGTCAGTATGACCTGGGTTAACCTTATCATGACCAAGTTTGGCAGATTTTGGGGTGACTTGAGCCCAACGATGTAAAAACTACTGGATTGCGCTCTCAGTAGCACTGCGGGCGCTGTTTTCGGTCTAGTGCCCCCCTCCATCTACTGGCAGTAGCCGACGCAGCCCATACACTCACCATTGTAAAACGCACCTTTTTAAGTTGCTGCTCTGTTTAAATATATAGATATAAAATATTGCTAATGCATGCCAAACACTTTTTACTATTCTAAACTTTATGTCTTCTACTTTTCTTGCAGAAAATATCACATTTTAACTCTTAAAAACCCTACTACATTTGTCCAGTTTTTGCCGCAAATCTATGCTCGACATTAACGTGATAGGCATATTTTTTATGACCTATTTTGTAAGATACATTGTCATTAAACATTGAAAGAAAAAAACTTCGCGTTTACGTCAAACATAACGTTACCACTGCGGCAAAAACTTAGCAAAATTATTCTAAATGTTTATGTACTTTTTTTCGATTAATAAAATATAATTTCAATTACAAATATTGTACTTTCTATTTCTCCTTTGTAATCACTTATTATTTTACCATGTACAATTTGGAACTAGCAATATCAGTTGTCTAAAAACATCTACAAAACGGGTTTAGTGAATTTTAGTTTTAAAGAATTCAGATGGGCTATTTTCCGCAAGAAACAAAACAGACATAAAAGGTTTAACTAGTAAAAAGAGTTTGACAAGCGTTAGCAATATTTTGTCCTTATAAATTTCAACAGAGCAGCAAATAAAAAGTGTGTTTAAAATGGTGAATGTATGGGCTGCGTCGACTTCTGCCAGTAGATGGTGGGGGAAGCTCGACCGCGCGGCCAACACTGAGCCAGCGATCCATGAGTTGTTAATATCGTTGCTTGAGCCCACCTGTGTTTAAGTGGTAACGTTTGTTCAACATGGTAACCAGCCTTCAACATCTACCAGCACTTTAACATCACCACCAGTAAAAAGAAAGAAAAAAGCAGCAGTGAACAAAGATTCAGATACTAGCAGTGAAAGTGAACCAGAGAGTGTATATTCAGAGTATAGTGAGTTCGAAGAAGAAGATTTTGATGATATATTAGAAATGCAAGCACCAGAAAAGGGAAGTAGCAAGAAGATAAAAACTACCTAAATTAAGTAGCAAGAAAAATGAAAGAAAAATTTTTTCCAAGATAAAAGAAAAATGTGAAACAAAAACTAGTGCTTATGAAAAAGGCTGCTATGTCTTGGTGATGTATGAAGGCAAGTTTTTCCCTGGCATGATAACGGACATAGGTACCGGTACTGGTAATGCAGGGGAAGACTTTAAAATAAGTACAATGACCATGAGTGGTCCTAGTAATTGGAAATGGCCAGAAAAGGTAGATGAGTGCTGGTACAGCAAAGCAGAAGTTAAAGGAAAAATAGCAGCCCCCACACCCATTACCGCCAGAGGATCTTTTGCCGTTCCAGAAGTGGAAAAGTGGCGGTTAATGGACAAAGACATAAAGTAGAACAAGTGCTTTTACTAGTGTAAATAGTGTGTAGATAAAAAACAATTTGTTATTTTTACATTTAGTTAGTCTATTAATGACTGTCAAAATGTCTATTGTGAAGTTTTCTATATCGGAGTGACGAATCGGTTCGGATTAACTAGAACGAGATATTGGCAACATTTCATTTACAGAAAAAATTACTTTTTTATATTTTCAAAAATTGTTGGTGGACTTTTTCTGATTAATCATATTCAGATCTTCAATATTTGGTAAGTAAAATTTGTTTAAATGTTTCTGTAAGTTTTTTATAAATTTATTACAGTTTCGACGAAAACTTTGTGTTTTGTTTTACACTTACCGTCAATTAACCTAAAAAAACTGGAATTTTTAATCTAAAAAAATACCAAAATAGTGAGCTATATATGTGGGTTCAAGTCACCTCATGGGTTCAGTGCAGTGGGTCTAGTGCATTAGAATAGCATTGAAATATATCAGCTGGGTTCAAGTCACCCCGACCAACAAGGTGACTTGAGCCCACCCATATTTTTTTTTTTTTTTTAATAGTTACACTAACTTTAAAAAAATCTTATTCCACACATTTGTAGAATAGACCAAGACTAAGTTTACTGTAAAAGATTTATAAAAAAATACTTAATGGGTTTACTTTAATGAACAAGCAAAGTTCAAAAGTGGGCTCAAGTCACCCCGTTTTACGGTAGGCCTATCGTTTGGTTTAGTTACTTATTCTTAGGTTAACCTTACCTAACTAATCAAATGATATATCAAATGAAATAATCGATATATCGAATAATTTTTCATTCGGTTGTTTTTCACAACAGATAAGGAAGTGAACCATGCTTGCTTGTGTTAAATTGGTTGTTATGTTAGAACTCAGCACAATTTTACTACATAAGTTAATTCCATTTTAGCAAATTTCCTATGAGGATTAACTTAAGTTATAAGGAACTTCTTATATTGTGATTCCACTTGTAAATGTCATTAGTCTAAAAATACAGGGGAAACAGTAAAATTACAGTGGAACCTTGATAAGAAGACCCTCGATAACAAGTCACCCTTGATAACAAGTGTCATTTTCAAATCCCCTCAAAAATTATTTTACCCCTAATCACATTTTTTTACAATCCCCACGAGAGTCTTGTTATAAAGGTTCTACTGTACCTTAAGTTTATTATTCAAACATTGTACATTTTAACAGCTATATCCTCAGTAATATTTATTTATTGACGGACAAATCATTACTTACAGAATAGGCTACAATTTTTGTGATACAACTATTGAGTTGATAAGTGATGACTAATAACAAAAGTGCAAACAGTAATAACAATAACAATAAATAATAACAATAACAAAGGGAATAACAATGAAGTAACAATTAGGACGAAGATGACATTAAAGAGCAACAAGGACAACAAAACATAAAAAGGATTTAACAAATTTAAGAAGAGATTAGACTTGTTTTAAAAGCAGATGCGCCATCTTCACTGACCAAATGGAAGGGAGCTGATCAATCTTCTGAAACCAGAGGTGCCACTGTTGAAGAAATCGATATCAGGCGGCAGAGAGTTTCCCAGGGCTTGTATGCGAACGATGGCGCTGTGCTGTTCGTAGAGCGTAGCATGGTGGGACCTAGCAAACAGCTCCCTCGATCTGGTACCCCCTCCAGGGACGTGGAAACTAATCCGCTCAAGCAACTCCGGGTGAGAGTATCTCTCCGTTGATCAGTCTATGTAGGAACATCAGATCAAATATTTTCCTTCTAGACACCAGCGTAGGAAGATTCAAGCCAGCTGCCAAGGCGTACACTGGAACATCTGCGTAGCGGTATCCAAGGCGAAGACCCACAAGGTGGATAAACCGAGTTTGTATTGACTGGAGTCTTTCCTGAAGATAGTGTTGGCAGGGAGACCACACTACTGAGCAGTATTCTAAGTGTGATCTGACAAGGTGACAATAGAGGGTTTTCAGTGCCAATGGTGACAAAAAGGTTCGTGAATATCGGGTAATGAGACCCAAGTTCTTATTTGCTTTTGCGCTTATATAGAGTACGTGTTTTTCTGGACTCAAGGAAGCAGTGCACATAACACCCAAGACCTTAATCTCGAAGACTCTGTCGAGGTTGCATCCATTCA